CCGGTAGCGGTCTTGCTAATTGTCCAATATATATTTCCGTTGGACCCCGGTATCATCGGGCCAGGACTGGATAATAGAAAAGTGCAATAACTGTTTGGATCAATTCTCAGAGTATATTCCTAAAGAAAATTCTTCACTATTCGGAAACATGATCTGCAACAAATTAATTCCGATTACTAATCTAGATCGACACTAACTGCTTAGAACTAAGTATATTGCAACAAATTCATTCAGATTACTGATCTAGATCGACACTAACTGCTTAGAACTAAGTATATTGCAACAAATTCATTCCGATTACTAATCTAGATCGATACTAACTGCTTAGAACTAAGTATATTGCAACAAATTCATTCAGATTACTGATCTAGATCGACACTAACTGCTTAGAACTAAGTATATTGCAACAAATTCATTCAGATTACTAATCTAGATCGACACTAACTGCTTGAACTAAGTATCATGACTAACCGCCCGGGATGTACTCCACACGGACCATCATTTTCAAGTCGAAATTTTTATTTAAAAAAAACGGACCGCCGCTGGGATGTCATCTTATCTTGTCACTGGGGCCCGGCAGCTACGCTGCCGCCGGGCCCGCGAATCTCAGCATCCATCGTTGCATTTAAGATGGAACGTAAAACATAAGACCCCTAGGCCAAATTTCCCTCACAGCACATTGCATGTCTTATGTTTGTCATCACTCACTGGCCCGTTTGGTGCAGAACAGTAAGACATCGTTAATTAATGTCTTTATTATATTTCGCCTATTAATATATTGTTCTGATTATTTGCAGGCAGCCCTAGCTGTCAGTCTAATGGTACGCCATATGGCACCTGACGTATTCAGTGGTCTAACCCGGTCACATGGTTTGGGTATTTTTACTAAAGCTGAAAGTATGTCCGCCTATCCCGAGAATGCCCATTTAGCGGATACTGCCGCATGTCGTGGTAAGTAAATGTTGTGACTTTAATCGACAATTGTCTTCATTTTTAAGTATGATTACTATTTTAACAATTTTTGAAGACCATTTTCCTAGTCAAATCATTTACTGATGGAGGACACGTCAAATTGAATCTTGAATCATGTTGGGTAACCCTGTGTGGGTTAAACAAAAACTTTTGTGGCCACTCTAAAACATGGAAAGGAAGGGTAAGTTTTCCAAAACGCCCCTGCTATTCGTGTTAGGAGGACAATTTTGTAGTCTATACCTAGGTATTCGGTCAATAATCCATTAAAACCAATCGCTAAGATGACCGACAAATATCCACCGAATTATATAAAGTGATTAAACGTTTCACATTAGGTATGCTAGAATTGTGATTTTGGTATCTATACGTGGGTTATAGGAATAATATCCATTACCACTATTCACCATAATGTAACAGGTATTGCCTGAGTAGGCGACGTTGACTGTTGTCGCAAATATAAAACCTTCACGTTTAAGCTTGTCAAGGGATGTAAAAACTGCGAAATTCCATATTGATTTGGATATCAGTATTGGGTTAATTACCGTGTAATTTTGTTAAAAGAAAAGTGTGAGAATTAATTTCATTACGGTCATATACATGACGTCATTGAATAATTTGGTATGATACGTAATTTGCTAGAATGGAGATAACTCTCAGTTGCGGGCGCATTGCCTGTTTTGCCTAGTGTATCCGGTTCCGGTCTGATATTTTTTAGCCACCAGTCTATAACAGTTTCATTTGCACTCCTGTGTTATCGGAAAAGAGCTTTGTGAGCTGCTTTAGATGTGAAATGAAATGGGGTTAAACGTACTACTGGGATAATGAACAGGGTGCTGATTTTCGCTCTAAATTATAAATAAACAGATGTCGTCATCAGTAAATCTAGGATGTCCATACTAATAGCCGTTGTTTGCCATTGCCAATATTATACTTACTTGAGATTTCTGGTCATTGTCCAACCAGAGGGGAAACCACAGCCAGAAATAGAGGAGAAAGGATAAGTCAGTGTGAAATTATACCCCCTGGCCTCTAACTCGTTAACCCGGGGGTCCCGAGTTCGATCCCGGTGATTTTCTGGGTTGGTTTCGCCCTAGTCAGTGGTGTGGGACAAAGGGCTTTGTTACGAAAACCAGGGATCCCGTGTACACATTTCCGTGCACGTAAAAGAACCCTTGACATTTGGAATTTAGACGAATTTAAAAAATTTTGCAAAATTTAACACAATAATATATATATATATATCGTTTCTTTTAGGAACATGTTCAGGAAGTTGCTCCCACACATGTACCTTCGATGGACGTAAATTTTCATCTATAGCAGGATTGTCCAATTCAAGAAGTGTGGTACTTGACGACAACGTTCTCTGTGACAGATCTGACCCCTATGGCCACTCAGAAAACATCGCCATTCACGAGTTCGGTCATCTTGTTATGAGTTATATGCCTAGAACATGGAGCAACAAGGTTTGTGAGGAACTTCTGCATAGAAACAACCAGAACGACAGCGACTAAAGGCTCGTTTGATTAATGAGAATCCGCATTTAGATTATGTCAAATTCAGAATGCATTCTCTTTGATTCTTAAAGAGATATAAATTCGAATACAGATTGTGTGAAAAGAAGTCTCGATCGTCGGCGAAATCCATTTTAATATTGACCGATAAAATGGCACGGATAGTTTAATATTAAATTTGAATTTGAATCCAGAATAAAGTCCGACAATAGGCCGGTATAGCTCTTACATTATACGCCTTCAATCTTAACTAACTTCATTCACACGATCCTAAAATTCTTTCTTCTATATGATTAATAAACGTGATAGTAATTCAGCTAACCGTAATTCATTCTATCTCCTTGCTAGAATCTTACGACTTGGGGTATAACTTAGTTAGAATGAACACTTTAGGTGACATGAATATAACAAAATATGATGTATGTTTTCTGTTCAAGATTAAAGCCGCATATACTCACGAGAAATACAGTAACCTATGGAAACCTGGTGTTTATGGTACTGCTGATGCTCAAGAATATTGGGCTGAAGCTACCGAAGCTTTCTTTAGTGCTACAGTTAGAACAGATGTCACTGGTGGTTTAAACATGTACGTATTATTTCAAATGAATCAGCACTTCTCACAATATCACAACTGTCTTATGCATAGACGTTCACATTGGATGCCAGTTCTTCTAGATTGGGATTCATAACTACAGATTAAAGGAGGTGTCGTGTAATGGGGGAAAATTCGACTGCAACCATTTGAGACGTCTAGTCTTGTCCATGTTTTCTTGTACATTTTAATGGTTTGTCACATACGCCACTCTGTGCTCAATTATTCATTGCCAAGACATTGCGACAGACTTTAGCTTTGCGAAGATATGCATTTTTATAGGTCGAAGATAGGCCTACGAAATTGTCAACAGTCTTAGTTATCTATTACTCATCCTGTTTGGTTCATTTCAATTTCCTTCCATTTAGTTTGTCAAACACCCCATTGTTTTTCGAAATTATAGCTATTGGGTTATAGTATTTATTATTATATTGAATAACTGTTTCACTACCGATATCAAGAAACTGTGAGAGACTTTTGTATCAGGTGAAGAGGAATGCCATTTGTATACTATATCCAAGTTCGGTTGATAAAATTAGGTGATTTCTTCTTTTATCTTGTAGGTGTGGCACTTCCCATCCATGTTCTACTGAACAGCAGGCCCGGGCGTATTTGAAAAGACATGACCCACAGTTATTTGAGGTTCTGAGCTATGCTTACACTAACAACCATCCCGAAATCGCCAGTGGTGGCAAACCCTGTTTATAAGACATTATTAGCATATAAATGGCAATCAATAAAATAGACCTACATTATATTTGATGTATGAGTTTGTTACGCGACCCATATTAGACAGTCTTATCTTAAATTTTAAAAATGAAATGAAATTAGGAGATAAACACCTCCTGTTTAGAATTTATCGGACTGTTATTGTCCATTTGATACCGCTTAAATCATTAGAGGCCGAGATCGCGTTTGCGATCGAGCGCCTCTAATGAAAAATTTAAACGGTATCAAATGGACAATAACAGTCCGATAAATTCTAAACAGGAGGTGTTTATCGATATTGTAGCCTAAAATATTTAACATTTTTCTTGGAATTCTTTCTTTCGCGATAGTTGACGGTAGTTTTTTGGTTTTAATGACGTAAATACCAAGGAAAACAATTTTGACGTAATGAAAATATCCGTGACGTAATAAGATAAACACTCATTTCCATTCTATTTGGTTCACAAAGCGACTGGATAAGTGTGTCTGTTTGGAAAGGGAGGTCACTCTGCGATAATTTTAAAGATTGAAACAGAAAACGTAAGTGTATTTTATGTACTTTTTAAATGATTTTAAACTGCAGCAGTGACTAGGTTCGAAATAAATTGCATATCAAGTTTGATAAATGTCCATACACTCGTGTGACAGTGTAGATAGATGCTGTGTAGCGTACGCATGTGGTTGCTATGCTAGTTTACGTTGTCATTTCGACGCTGTGAATATGATGCTTCTTCTTCGCAAAAAGCCCTGGCCTGTGTATCTGTATGAAAATTAGTCTCTGTCCAATTCATATCAGTATCAGCCTGACTTGTATATTATTAAAAATATATTACAGTCCATACCGAGTTCAATAAATTGTAGTATTTTTATTCACTTGTTGAAAATCTTCGATTTTGACCAGTCTGATTATGATAGAGTGACCATACTGTCCATAGCAACCATTATTATTGTCAGACCAGCCTTGAAATTAAATCTACTTATTATCTTTGAAATACACTCACTAACTTTTTTTTTGTGTTTCAGGTGTGTGTTTCAATAAGCCAATGGTTGAATTTCATTGTTGATGACATACAAGAAAAAAATCATGAAGATTTCCTAGAATAAAGTATTGAGGTGTAGAATTTTTGGCCACTGCAAACAGAGTCTAGCACCCAGAAAATATTCATTCGCAGTGAGTCGCCCAGGAAATTTAGAGGACTGTTATACTCATTCGACGCCACTTTTCGACCAATCAGAATCCAAGAAATTCCCATTTTGGGCTACAATGAGGGTTAACGTCCCACTGTTCTGCTCCGAGTTAATGGGGACAATTATAAGCCATACAGTGTGCAATGAGGGACATTTTGCCCGGACAGCAGCGCTACGGCATACTCTTATATCGAATTCCTACTGTCGAAGGATCTTTTATGCGCAAGCCAATGTGTAAAATGGACCTTGGTTTTCCATCCCATCGGAACGATTATATGTTGTCCCTTGCAAGTGGGAACCATGTCGAAATATCCCGATGAACTTTCTCTGTCAACGCTGGGATCGAGCACGGAACACCCAGATTAACAAGTTACCGCCTTACTCACTGAGCCACCGTTGGCGGGGTTGTGAAGTTTGATGGGACATGTCTAGTCTTGAAATAACTTGGAAATTTGTGTTCGAGAAGTGTTAGATTCAGTGCATCAACTGTATAGAATACACGTCCAGCAAATATCCGGCAATGCGATCTTAGTTTTGAAATCCCAGTGGATTTAATATACTAAAATATCTTACACATAGAGAAGAGAAATAACCTGATTTCAGGTAAATTCATATTATTAATTTATCTATTTAAAAACAAAATACATAATATTCAAATTACAAATAATAATCCACGTTTATTAGTATTACTTTAACAGCTTTATGAACTTCTCGAATATAATCAGGACCGGGTTAACCTATGGGGGTGATCCTATGAGGATGTGCGTCATATTAGTGTGATCCTTTAATATATGCTATTAATCAGTCCTAAATGACTCTGAAAGCTGTTAGTGCCATAAAATTCCTTGCAAACTACATTGTGAAAATTGACTCTCAAACAGGAAAATCAGTCCAAACAATGATTCAATTCCATTCAGATATAACGAATTCCAACGATGTATGTTGTTCCCTATGGTATGCTGTGAACCAAATTAATGGCACTGTTTTATACCCGAATAAATTTAAGGGGTTGGTATTTTGATATTTTTGAATCTGCGTACATATTAGTGTGGATTAAAAGACAATATTGGTGTCAGCGATTATCGGGGGGGGGGGGGGTGGTTGGATGGCCGAATGGTTAGCACATGCGTGCAGTATCATAAGGCCTGTCATTGAGGCCACTAGCGTGGTTTCGAATTCCCGGTTGTCCAACGTCGTGGGTTTTCTCTGGTCCTCCGGTTTCCTCCCACTGCCAAAGACCCCTATGCGCAAGCGAATTATCGAAATAAAATCAAACCATATGTTAGTTCCGAAATGACCTAGTTTGTATGTGTGTGTGTGTCTCTCTCTCTCTCAGTCATTATCACATGTGTGATTGAACTGGTTAAACGCGTTCCAAATATAATTTTAACACAGAGATCATTGCTACGATAGATGCGTTATGAAGCTTTCAAGAAAGGGAAGTGGCGAACGCAAAAGGAAAACACGAGTTATTCTTCTATATAACAAACGGGAGTGACGAGTGATATAAGACACACGGGCGAATTTCTGCTCACTAATAATTCCTTCGAAGACCAAAATTAGTTGTTATAAGACTGTGGGAGGTTATCTGACAATCCCAAAAAATAATTGACTGTCACTCTATAAGAGAATGCGAGAAAAATAGAAAAAGGTCCGTGCTTTACTTTGTTTTTATTGAGTTTAGAATGAATAAAAACAAGGGAATGTGCGGACTATTTCTATTTTTATACGCCCACATTTCCATGTTGACGTATTGTCGCCGCCCCTGTCCGTCCGTCCACAATTGTTTGTGAACAGTCTACAGGTCACAATTTTTATCCGATTTCAATGAAACTTGAAATATAGGTTAATCACCCTAAGATCTCGGTTCCTTTCGATATTTGCATGTATCGGAATGTAACTTCATGGATTATGGCCCCTGATTGTACGAAAAACCACGTTTTTAGCTTGTGAACACTGTAGAGGTCACAATTTTTATCCGATTTGGTTTAAACTTAAAATGTATGCTTATAACCCAAAGATCGCGGTTCCTTTCGATATTCGTGCTTATCGGAACGTAACTTCCCGAATTATGGCCCCTGATTGTACGAAAAATCGCGTTTTTAGCTTGTGGACCCTATAGAGGTCATAATTTTTATCCGATTTAAAAAAAAACCGTATTCTTATATCACCGTTACACCCTAAGGACAACTGAGCTCTAATTTCGTGAAAATCGGCCCAAAACTGACAGACAAAATGGCCGCCCTTCGTTCTAAAATAGCGTAAAAATATGGTATATCAAGGTTGTGGACCCTATAGAGGTCACAATTTTTATCCGTTATTGTTGAAACTTGACATGTAGTTTATAACCCAAAAATATCGGTTCCTTTTGATATTCGCGCATATCGGACCGTAACTTCATGAATTATTACCCCTGATTGTACGAAAAATCGCGTTTTTGACGGCTGAGTTCGAATTTCGTGAAAATCTGCCCAAAACCGACAGACAAAATGGCCGCCGTTCTTTCTCAAATAGCGTAAAAATATATTATATTAAGGTTGTGGACCCTATAAAGGTCACAATTTTTATCCGATTTTGTTGAAACTTGAAATGTAAGTTTATAACACAGAGATCTCGATTCCTTACGATATTCGCGCATATCGGAACGTAACTTCCTGAATTATGGCCCCTGATTTTACGAAAAATCACGTTTTTAGCTTTTGGACCCTATAGAGGTCATATTTTTTATCCGATTTAAAAACACATTTTTATTAAACCATTACACCCTAAGGACGACTGAGTTCGAATTTCGTGAAAATCGGCCCAAAACTGACAGACAAAATGGCCGCCCCTCGTTCTCAAATAACGTAAAAATATCGTATATCAAGGTTGTGGACCCTATAGAGGTCACAATTTTTATCCGATTTTATTGAAACTTGAAATGTAAGTTTATAACCCAAAGATCTCGGTTCCTTTCGATATTTGCGCATATCGAATTGTAATTTCCTGAATTATGGCCCTTGATTGTAGGAAAAATCACTTTCGTTTTAGCTTGTTCTCTATCCATCTCTCGAAAATGTGGGCGTATCCTGCCTGGCAACCACTGGTTCTTATTTTCCCTTATCTAGCGACATCCAATTACATTTTAGAATTATCAGATACCCTCTCACCATGGCGGTATATTAGATTCAAAATTCTAACGTGCTATCGTCTAATTTCTAACTTCTGTTCATGTAATTTTTAACTTCTATTCTTGTAATTTATAACTTCTATTCTTGTAATTTCTAACTGCTTGGTGAAATTTTTAAATAATGACAATGTATAATCTAACTTCTTTATTTGCTCAGTGTAAATTTTAATTCTTTCATCTTATATCTATTATTTAGACGAAAAACATCTTCATTCATACTTTACACGTTAAGCATGAACACCAAAGAATTTAGAATATTTACTCTTATGCCTAGCAACTGTCATTATGAAGTCGTTTGTTGTCGCCACTGCGTGCTCATTTGGTAATTGCGCACCTGGTCGGGACCATTATGTTGACTTAAAATACAAATGTGAAATCATCCTTTGATGCTGGCGTACCATTATTTCCAATAATATACGGACAACTTGCCAATCGTACATTATCTATACTAGATGAAATATTGGACTCGCGTGACGTATTTCATTGAAAAGCACGTGCGGGATAGTGTCTGTATTTTAAGTTGTTTAATGGCCTCGGGCTAAAGATATTGCGTAATATATTGAAACAACACTCGTTAACGCCTCCTGCAGTATCAATATATTACTTAATGTCTTGCTCTCGACCATTAAACGACTTGCTCTTCGTCTGGTTGATGGTTGGACGGAGTGCTGAAATTTAGAGAGAGAGAGAGAGAGAGAGAGAGAGAGAGAGATGGGGTTTAAGAACCACTCGACTCGAACTAAGTCATTTAGGTACTAACATGGTTCTGTTTTATTTCAATAATTCGCGTGTGCATAGGGTATAGCCGTAGGGGGAAACCGATGAGGTTGGACAGGCGACCCTACTCCTTGTCACATACAACCGGGGAATCATGCTGAAATTGAAAACAACATCGAACGTGATGTGGTTGACAAATACTATTTCAAATATAAGCTAAACAACATTTTTTTCATATTTCCTTTTTGACAGATTTGAAAAATTTTATTTGATTTTTTTTTATTTACAGTTGAGTGTTGATCTGTATCGTATTAATACTCTAACAAAATGTCACTTTATAATGATAAACTTTTTCTTATAAGGGTTCAAAGATATAAATTTATACAAATCTCATGAAACTGCCTTTAAAGGGGGCCGGGATAATCTGTTTATGAGGATAGCGATGAAGTTTTTATTTCTGATTCCTTCATTATACCAACCTGTCTAACTTTATGGTAGTTTTTTATCCAACAATATTTTATTTAAGTTGTATAATTAAGCAATACGGAAATTAAACCGAAATGAAATGGGGTTTACCGTCCCACTTTTCTACACCTTCTAGGTTAATGAAGACGGACTCACGCCATACATTTTAATACTTTATTATGAATCACAGCTGCCGATTGATTTAATCCCATCCGAACGACTAGATAATGTCCCTGCTTACAATAACGACAGCCTCTGCAAATCACAGAGACGGAACTAATGTCAGAAATATTATAAAGCTTAGTTTTGCCAAATTGTATACTAGCTGACGATGTTATATAACCCATAGAACTATATTTATATGATAAAACCGTTATCTCTCCGGCGTGGCACGGACATTGGCTAGTCGTTTGGATGGTATCAAGAGACATTTTTTTAGAGCAGTAAAAGAATAAAGATCAACACTATATAAATATTAATTGGCTTAACTGCAAAAGAAAAATAAAAAAAATAAAATAAAATTCTCCAAATCCTGCACTTGTCTTCAAAATGATCAAATGCCCCTACGCGCAAGCAAATTATTGACATAAAATTGAACCATATGTTAGTCCCGAAATGACCTAGTTTCTGTCAAGTGGACGTTAAACTCTCTCTCTCTCTCTCTCTGTTTTCAATTTTAACACTCCGACTAACCATTCAACCTGACGAAGAGCGAGTCGTTTGTGTCAACATAATGATCCCGATAAGATGCTTAATCGCCAAATTGAGCACACGGTGGCGACACCAAACGACGTTGTAATTATAGTTGCTAGGTATAGAAATATCAAAATTCTAAATGCTCGACGTTCATGATTAACATGTGAAGTAGACATTTTTCGTATAGAAATAAAATGAAACAGAAATAAAATTTACTCTGAACAAGTAAAGAAGTTGCATTATACATTGTCTTAATTAGAAATTACATGAATAGAAGTTAGAAATTACATGAATAGAAGTTAGAATTTGCATGACTAGAAGTTAGAAATTAGACGATAACATATTAGAATTTTGAATCTAATAAACCGCCATATCTCATCCTCACATAACAAAGTTTGATCTTCGAAGGAATTATTAGTGAGCAGAAATTCGCCCGTATATCTGTTATCACTCGTCAATTCAGTCAGTTATATAGAAGGATATGTGATAATGACTGACACCGATATTGTCCTCTAAGCCGTGTGAAATTAGAATGTTGAACCGATTTCAATAAACTTCCATTATGTCGGTTGCAGCTATTTTTAACAGCCTTTTCCGTTAAATTGTAATGTATAAACAAAATACTTAGATATTGGTGCCCTGATTCCTTATTTCTATTCTGTATTGATTCTACTACAGGTACATAGGACTAATAAAACACGTTTTAAGTTTTCCATTTATTTTCTCGGCGAACACGATAACGTTTTAATCGACTTGAATAAACATATTTTTTTTTAACCTTTTTTTTCCGTTTAGAGGGGTTGGATGGCCGAATGGTTAGCACGTGCGCGCTGTATCATAAGATCTGTCACTGTGTCAACTAGTGTGGTTTCGATTCCCCAGTTGTACGTGACAAGGAATTGGGTCGCCTGTCCAACATCGTGGGGTTTTTCCGGGTCCTCCGGTTTTCTCCCACTACTAAAGACCAATACGCGCAAGCGAATTATTGAAAAAAATTGAACCATGTGTTAGTCCCGAAATGACCGAGTTTGTGTCGAGTGGACGTTAAACCTCTCTCTCTCTCTTGCTCGCTCTCTCTTTTTTTCGTTTAAGTGAAAATGGTATTGTCTCTTAAAAACTCTTACCTCATTTGAATAAACTTTCAATTTCCAGTTAAAACTAGTTTTTACCATTTTCGTTAAAGCAATGTAAAACATAATACTTCGATACTGATTTTGTAATTCCTTATCTCTTATCAGCTTTTATTCTACCGATAGTGCTCGACTTGCCGGTCCCAAACATTAATGAAATACATTACCTGACCCAAATCCGAGATAGAAAGGGTAACAAATTACCTATATTCCACCTTATTCGGGCTATCTTATCTTCTTATCTGACCAATGTAGGCTAAGTTCATTCCATTGTACGGCACATGCTATCAGGCAGCCATGGAGGGCTGGTCTTTGTTTTACGTTTTGACAATATTTGTGGCAGGTTTGTACTTAACCTTTGTCGGTGCAGTGGGGTCTCCGTGGACCCAATGCACATGTTTTATTGTGTTTTGCAATAACTACTGGGCACTGCTTTCTGAAATTTAGTGACTTTGTCTCCTATACATTTTTACACCTGCTTGCCACATGCAGAGTTATGTTTATTTGCAAATCAGGCCCAACGCTTGAAGGGAAGAAGGGGTCCAATTGGACCCCTGACTTACAACTCACAGAAGGGATTGTGCTAATGTGTTTTCTGCCTGATACCATATTGGGTATGCCAGAGTATTCTCTTTTTTAACATCTGCATGTTACAAATACCAAAAATTAAAGACACATTATGGGAGATAAGATAAAGAGATGGCAGTTCTCGCTATAATAGTTATAAACTAGATAGTGTAATACTAAAGGTAATTTGCTGAAAATTTCAGTCAAATTGATCCACCATGAACCGAGAAAGAAGCTCGTGAAATTTTGGCATAGTCTCGGTCATCATTACTAAAATCATTAATATAAACAGCAAGTCTCGATTATCCACCTTTATTGATTTAATTATCAACGGCCGTTAGCGGCATATAGGAATCTAATCCAGCCAACATCGAAGGCTAGCCTTGACATCGAGAGTTTATTACGGTCTGGATAAGTTAGGTAATGTCTTATTGATAATTTAGATAACATTTCAGGCCTAAAGAAAGACTTGTAATAAGTAGATTTTGCTCTTGCATAATGCATGTTTAAATGATGAATTTCAAATATTCAATGGTTTGTGTATCAAGCGTGAATTGCCATTTAACCTCTTTATCACATAGTACACAAAGTAGCAATTTTGTTAGAATTACTAAATCTTTTCCAAATGTCACTAAAATGTTTTTGTATAATAATTTAGTTGTTTTTCAGTTGTCAAATATGAATGCAAATAAAAACTAAACCACTGCATTTAATTCAAATATATCTGTACGTAAAAACTTATAACTGGGGTCCATATGGACCCCTTGATACCCTGCTATGTGATTCTCACAACGTGAACCCAGAAGGGTTAAATCCATTTACCGTTATGCTGATATTTATTGTTAATTTAAAGCAGCAAGCCTCCTTTAAAACGATTCCAGGACGCCCTAATTATAACACGGATGCTATAACAAAACTATTTTATTTGTTTTGGGACTTTATGCAAATATGCACCATGTACACATTGACGAGCACGTAAAAGATCCCTTGACAATAAGAGTAGCCAGAGTACCACTGTCCGGGTAAAATTTACCCCATAGCACAGTAGTATGCCGTCTTCATAAGCTCAATCCGTGCAGAACAGCAGGACGTTATATCCGATTTCATTTCATTAATATATATATAATTAACATTTTCGAGGGTCTCTTAATTCACAGGAACAAAATATCAAAAGAGTGTCCCGTCTAGAGTACGCTCTTCACGTATAGTACAAAATAACCAGGGGCTGACAGGCAGGATACGCCCACATTTTCGAGGGATGGATGTGCGCGAATATCGAAAGGAACCGAGATCTTTGGGTTATAAACTTACGTTTCAAGTTTGAACAAAATCGGATAAAACTTATGACCTCTATAGGGTCCACAACCTTGATATACATGTACCATATTTTTACGCTATTTGAGAACGAACAGCGACCATTTTGTCTGTCAGTTTTGGGCCGATTTTCTCAGCCGTTTTTAGCGTTTAACGGTGATATAATAATACGGTTTTTTAAATCGAATAAAAATTATGACCTCTATAGGGTCAACAAGCTAAAAACGCGCTTTTTCGTACAATTAGGGGCCATAATTCATGAAGTTACGGTCCGATATGCGCGAAATTCGAAAGAAACCGAGATCTGTGGGTTATAAACTTACATTTCAAGTTTCAACAAAATCGGATAAAAATTGTGACCTCTATAAGGTCCACAACCTTGATATACCATATTTTTACGCTATTTGAGAACGAACGGCGGCCATTTTGTCTGTCATTTTTGGGCTGATTTTCACGAAATTTGAACTCAGCCGTCCTTAGGGTTTAACGGTGATATAATAATACGGTTTTTTAAATGGAATGAAAATTATGACCTCTATTGGGTCCACAAGCTAAAAACGCGATTTTTTGTACAATCAGGGGCTATAATTCATGAAGTTACGGTCCGATATGCGCGAATATCTAAAGGAACCGAGATCTTTGGGTTATAAACTTACATTTCAAGTTTCATCAAAATCGAATAAAAAATTGTGACCTCTATAGGGTCCACAACCTTGATATACCATTTTTTACGCTATTTTGTCTGTCAGTATTGGGCCGATTTTCACGAAATTCGAACTCAGTCGTCCTTAGGGTGTAAAGGTGATATAATAATACGTTTTTTTTTAAACCGGATAAAAATTATGACCTCTGTAGGGTCCACAACGTAAAAACGCGATTTTTCGTACAATCAGGGGCCATCATTCAGGAAGTTACGTTACGATATGCACAAATATCGAAAGGGTCCGAGATGAATGGGTTATAAGCATACATTTGAAGTTTAACCCAAATCGGATAAAAATTGTGACCACTACATTGTTCACAAGCTAAAAACGTGGTTTTTCGTACAATCAGGGGCCATAATCCATGAAGTTACAGTCCGATACATGCCAATATCGAAAGGAATCGAGATCTTAGGGTGATAAACCTTTTTTTCAAGTTTCATTGAAATCGGATAAAAATTGTGACCTGTAGACTGTTCACAAACAAAAATTGTGGACGGACGTCCTGACGGACGGACAGGGGCGACGACAATATACGTCCACATGAAAATGTGGGCGTATAAAACTAACATATTATATGTCATCTTCCAAACAGCAAATTTACACTCGAAGTGTGAATGACAACCGTTTTATTGTAACTTGGCTAAGTGGGTAAGACGCTGGCTCGCTAGCCTGGAGGTTGGGTGTTCGATCCCTGCATTGGCCGAGAAAGTTCATCCAGATTTTCCGGCGTGGTTTCCCCTTGTCAGTGATGCAGGACGGAGGGCCTGACAAGGACAGCTGTCTAGTCTTCGGATGGGACGAAAAACCGAGGTCCCGTGTACATATTGGCGTGCACGTAAAAGATCCCTTGACAGTTGGAATTTGATATAAGAGTAGGCCGTAGCGCCGTTGCCCGGACAAAATTTCCCTCATAGCATAGGGCCTACTGTATGGCGTATGCCCGTCTCCGTAAGCCCAGTTTAGGAGCAGAACAGTAGGACGTTTAACCCCATTTCATTTCATTTCATTTCATTACTGATGCAATTTATTATTTCAATTGCAGGTGTTTGGTGTATACCACCTCCTTTACCGGGTGAATTTGATTTACAAAAGTAAGAATATGGACAATTATTAGTTTTATTGATGCGTGAACTTTTTTTAATTGTAGGATAGTATTATTATTATTATTATTTTAAGTTCCCTAGATGACACATGTAGTCAGGTCATCTGACATTATTGTACCTTATTATTCCACTGATCTGGAGAAATTAATTATAGACATAAATTATATTATAAGCCAACGATAAGCTTAAAACTTTAATTATAACAGAACGTCGACCATAGTATCGGTCTCTCTATTTCGGCGATTGCATTGGTAGCAAGTTGTCCCGTTATTGTTATGCAAGTGTACACTGTAAACTGCGCTGTTCTTCCAGTTAGTTTCCTGAGGGCCTGACAAGAGACGAGTATAGTTATTTGGGTGGGACGAATCCCATAAAAGATCCCTTGGGAGATGGAATTTGATATAAGAGTAGGTCGTAGGGCCATTTTCCAGGCAAAATTTGCCTCATAGCACACTGTGCGGCATATGCTCGTCTTAATTAGCCTAGTCGGAACAGAACAGTAGGACGTTAAACCCGATTCATTTCATTTTTAATTAAGATCGAAACTAACGGGACTAACATATGGTTTAAATAATTCCTTTCAACGCGCGGGTCTTTAGCAGTGGGAGGAAAACGGAAGAACCAGAGAAAGCCCATGAGGTTGGGCAGGCGACCCTTATATTCCTTGTCACGTACAAGTCGGGAACGGAAACCACGCCACTTGACTCAATGACAGACCTTCTTATCCAACACGCACGCGCTAACCATTGCCCCCCCTCCTCTTATCCATGTCAATTTAGATACATACATGCAAAATATATCGTCCCATATTCTAAGATACCGTAGCTCTTCTCTTTAATGTGTTGACATTACTACAATGAGTATAAGTGAAGTAAAATGATAATAATTTGAATATTTTAATGTGTTTTGGCTTTTAAGCTGGAAAGGTCATAACGTATTGTTTTAAAGAAATTACTGTAGTAACTCTTTAACCCATAAACAGGGCCCTCGCAAGCCTATGTGGCGCCCCAAGGCAAAAGTTTCAGTGACGCCGCCCAAGGACAAACGGTAGTGACGCCCCCCCCCCCCACCCCGTGCATACGGTAACTGCTTTGTTCAGTGCCTGCGCTCAGTTGATTTTGTATGTTTAAAAAAATTCTAAAATACATTTTTTACACTTTTAACACTTTATCTAAATAACTATTTGTTAAATATAATAAGATATGTTTATTTCCCCTTCAGCTCTCCATTTGATCGAAAAACACTATAATATATGTATGAAAAATATCTCTTATTTGCTGAAATATAAACCGGTTTACACAGGTTTAGGGGAAGCGAAGGCCGGCGATTTGCTATCTCACTTAGATAATTTGCCGCCTCGCAAGAAGTGTCGCCCCCAATCTGTTTCACAGAGATCTTCTAATATCTCTGTAACAGATGACTGTTTCGACACGTGACGTCACATCACGCGGCGTCAATCTTTGGCTCAATAGCGCGTGCATTGTTTACATAAGACGCTAAATGGTGAATTTTACTTATTTTAATACCCATTTACACTTAATAGAAAATGATTTTTACCTACAAATGATTCAAACGTCTTTATATATTTTTCTAATAAATGAAAAAAATGTTTTAGAATTCAATTTGACGGAAGAAAAAAGTTAATATTTGGGACTCATTAAGTCGCATCGATGTCATCCTTATCAGTGATTGTAGCGGCCTAAGGAGAATTCACTGCTGATTAATGTGATGAACCCCCTCAGTCTCCCCCTGTGTGAGGAATCTGCCCATAAAGGCATTTTAGTGCATATACAAATCTGTTTATCATGATTTTTGTATAGTAACAAAAAATGTACTGTTGGTACTTTCGATTAGTTGTTTTTAAAAAGAGTTCATTTTGATAAATTTATTCGATTTCAGCCAAACCCTGCTCATCAAACCAAGAGCTGCTACCAGTTTCAAATATCGTTATGTAGCTCATAATGGTGCTATTGATAAAAGTAGACCCGGGCATCCTTTTGTTACTGTTGCAGCAACGTCAAGGTGTAGCGATGCCGCACTCGAAAAGGTGAATGCACGTAATTGAAAATTCAGTGGCATATTGCATAATTTTGCTTTTCCGAAGTTGGTGGGGGGGGGGGGGCTTTGTGGCTAAGTGATAAGGGCGCTTGCTTACTAACCAGGCGGTTATGGGTTCGATCCGGGTCTTAGACGAGTCCTTTCCCAGTGATTGTCCCTTGTCAGTGGTGCAGTATGGAGGCCCTTGAAACGAACATCATCTAGTCGTTAGTTGTTAGGATAGGACGACAAATCGGCCCAGTTTAGACGTTAGCGAGCACTTGAAAGAATCATTTACTGTTAGAGGTGGTAAATAGAGTGGGCATTAATTTTAATCAATGGGATGGAACGTCCGATCAATTTACCTTCTTTCCTCCAATGGTTCTGAAAACCTAGACTATCAAAACCCCTATGTAGTGTTCTTTTTTATCTTACAGGCAGCTCTAGGAGTTAGTCTCATGGTACGCCATATGCCTAATGATGTATTCAGTGGGCTAACCCGATCGCACGGTTTGGGTATTTTTACTCAAGCCGAAAGTATGGCCGTATATCCCGAGAATGCCCACTTAGCGGATACTCCCGCGTGCCATGGTAAGTACATGTTGTGACATTAGTCGGCAAAATTAAATGTTTTCAATTTTAGCTATTCCGAATAATGGTTTATATTCTATTTCTAATCTGTGGATCGTCTAAAAGCAGTTTTAAAACCATTTTTCTAGTCCATTGCCCTATTTTACATAGTAAGGCTTCGGCGGCAATAAAGACAATACCAGTCTGCTACAGTAGTTCCCATTTTGGAGTTTTTTTCCTCAGTAATGATATATCATACATAACATAAATTAAAGATGGGTTCCCAGAAAAGTTTTTATCGGGTGGTTATTTCCAATAAAATATGGTAATTTTGGTATATAATGAAAGTAGAGATATCCAATCTTACTAGAAAAATACTGGATTCCCCGAAAAACACCCATGGAGCGTATACAGTACAAAAATGTAAGGGTTCCCCTAATCAACAGCCCGACGATTAGGAATTTCTGCACGCGTGATGTAAAAGGTCACACGCGAACATTGAGCGCTTGATGTACAAGTTGATAAACTTTATGAAGAGTTAGACGTACAACACTTTCTGAGATAAAAATGACGGGAAAAGACGCGGGTAGTGGATAATCCGAGAATTTTTCAGGATTCGATATTTGTAATAAATAGTAAGCGAGAGGGAAGTCACGTGACGTAAACATGACCTTGTTCGATCGATTTTTTATAGCAGGACATTCCTTCGCAATTACAATGTTTGAGAAGGATTTGAAGCTAAGTTATGATTTACATCCGAGAACACGTCTTCAATAGCCTATTTGCATATACCCTATTTGTCGTTTTACGTATGTTGCCAAATCGCAGACTGACAATCGACATTTTCCAATGTGGTTTCCCCTTGTTAGTGGGGGTGCAGGACGGAGGGCCTGACAAGGACAGCTGTCTAGTCGTTCGGATGGAACGAAAAACCGAGGTCCCGTGTACACATTGACATGCACGTAAAAGATCCCTTGACAGTTGGAATTCGATATAAGAGGTGAGCGATAGTGCCGCTGTCCGGGCAAAATATCCCTCATAGCACACTGAATGGCGTATGACCGTCTTCATTAGCCCAGTTCGGAGCAGAACAGTAGGACGTTAGACCCCATTTCATTTCATTTTATTTCAAGAAATGTCAGTTTTTAATCTAAATCTTACATACATAATGCATGTTTACTTTTAAAAAAAACCATGATTTATCATTTTTGTAAAGTGAATGACAATATTCGTATCGTTTTACATGGACATTGTATCCGGTATATAGCTGATATGAAGTACATCGTACCAAATGGGTAGCCACAGTGCGTCCACGAGTAATGCAATGGTCTACCAACTTGGTAGTCGAAATTCGATATCGGTATTGGACGGGAAAGGTTTCCCTTTGTCAGTGATGCAGGACAAAGAACCTTGCAGCAACATGGCGTCTAGTCATCCTGGTGAGCTAAAACCAGAACCCTTGGCAGGCAGGGTATATGGAAATAACAGGATTTTATAAGTATACCATATACATGTCATAATATCGTTTCTTTTAGGAAAATGTTCAGGAAGTTGTGCCCATACATGTACTTTTGATGGACGTAAATGGTCAACTATAGGAGGATTGACCAATTCAAGAAGTGTGGTAGTTGATCACAACGTTCTCTGTGACAGATATGATTCCTATCATCACCATGACAACATTGTCATTCACGAGTTCGGACATCTTGTTATGAGATATATGCCTTCCTCATGGAGAAACAAGGTTTGTGTGCATCTTCTGTGTAGGAACTATCAGTTCGACTTGGATTTAGGCTTCGTCTGAATTCAGATTTTTTCTAAACCCTGTTTATTTCCCAAAATAACGGCCAGTGCGTGAAGTTGGAAGATAATCTACATTCGGATTCTTGGTTGCGAGATGTGGCAAATGGTCTCTTGTACTGACTAATTTTATCCACTAGATCCCTTTTCACAACACAACGGACCGACAATAGTCTGGGCTCTGAAATTGTTAAGATTTGAATCTTAATTCCACTTGAACATTTCGATTTCTGTGGATAGTATTCTTTCTATATTATTCTACATATTGGAATCGTATCCCTTGGAGTATGTTGAACACTTTTAGTAACATAAATTAAAGAAAATATAATGTCAGTTTTCTTTTAAAGATTCAAGCCGCTTTCACCCATGAGAAGTACACTAACCTATGGAAACCGGGTGTATATGCTACTGCTAATTCTGCTGAATATTGGGCAGAAGCTACCGAAGCTTTCTTTATGGCTACTGTTAGAACAGATGTGACTGGAGGTTTAGATATGTACGTATTGTATCAATGAACTAATACTTCTCACAATATCTAATCTAAGTTTTTTGCTACATTTGGATTCAGGAGGTGTCGTGTATAACCATTTGACGCTTGCGGTTTGAATATTTCAATTTCAATTTGGCTTGCCCAACACTTCAGTCTATTTTCAAAAATCAGTAACATAGTGCAGAGATCTCCTGTTGCTGCTCAAATATAAATGTAAGCCTGGTCGTTGCACATAATATAGCTTCTGTTTTTTGGGGGTTTTTTTTTCTCTTTTTTCGTTTATACCGTTTTCGTCATTGCACCCACCGATTTAGAAACTTCGGGCCAATATCGACTTTTCTTTACATGAAGAAGGGAATAAATCGGGTGCGGTGCTAATTATCTCCTGAGGTAGTAACGCACATATAACCGTAGAATGTATTACTTTTTGTTCGTGGGCGTAGTTGTTTAATAGCAATGGCAACAGACAAATGGCCGTAGAATTATTATTTACCGACTGTGGAAGTAGTTGTTTAATGGTAACAGACACATGACTGTAGAATGTATTATTTTCTAGTGGTCATGGTTTTAGAATGTAATATTTTCTGGTCGTGAACGTAGTTGTTAAATTGCAAAAGACATATGACTAGAATGTATTATTTTCTGGTCGTGGACATAGTTGTTAAATGGTCTTTTATTTATCTTGAAGGTGTGGTACTTCCCATCCATGTTCCAATGAACAACAAGCCCGGGCGTATTTGAAAAGACATGACCCACAGTTATTTGACGTCCTGAGCTACGCGTACACTAACCACCATCCTGAAATTAGCAGTGGTGTCAAACTTTGTTTGTAGGACAATATAGATAATGAAGTCTAATAAAGAAGTAAAAAGTATGTGAAATTTGTCGTCATAAATGAGCTTTTAATGATACTAATTGTCGATCTACTTTGTAAGCGTTGTCGTTTTATATAAATGATTGGCGATCCATCATCAAATTCAAGTTAACAAATGATTTCAAAGAGCTAATGTGCTCCAAATAAAAAAGGTCAGACAACTTTCTTTCAAATGTATTTAGGGAGAGAGAGAAAGAGAGAGATAGAGAGAGAGAGAGAGATGGGTTTAACGTCCTACCGTCCACTCGACACAAACTAGGCCATTTCGGGACTAACATATGGTTTAATTTTCTTTCAATAATTCGCTTGCGCGTAGGGGTCTTTAGCATTGGGAGGAAACCGGAGGACCCGGAGAAAAACTCGAGGTTGGATAGGCGACCCTACTCCTTGTCACGTACAACCGGGGATTCGAAACAACGCCAATCGACTCAATGACAGACTTTATGATACAGCGCGCGCCGCTAACCATTCAGCCATCCAACCCCCCTCAAATGTATTTAGGTCATTACAAAGTCCAAATGGCATTTCGCTGAAACGGAGTTTAACGTCCTACTGTTCTGTACGAACCGGGATAATGTAGACAGGTGTACGCCATGCAGTGTGGTACGAGGGAAATATTGTCTGGAAAGTGACGTTTTCGCCTACTTTTAAGTCAATTCCTAGTGACAAGGGGCCGGTTGCTCAAAGCTCTGTTATCTTTTAACGATCCGTTAACATGGAGTTAATGGATCATTAACTTTAACGGAGAGAAAGGTTGTTGCTGAAAGCCCCGTTAACTTTAACGTGTAGTTAACTTGGCGTTATATTTAACGGACGTTTGGTCTCCGTTATCTGTTTAATGATGACATTAGTTGGCTGTAGCAAAAAGTCATAGATTACATTGTACCTATGTAATTTTCTATAGAACATTCTAGCTATAGGATGAAATTCTATACTATTTTACAGAATTTTGGTGGCCTGTAGGAAATAATGGCCCCATAATTCTGTAGTGCAAATCCCATAATTTTCCCTACAGATTTATGCTAAAATTTCTAAAGGAAAAATAAAGTATTCTATGGTGTTTTCTGTAGTAAATTCTAGTTATCGTTTTGTCTTTAATCAAGTTTTGTGAACAGACTGCACAGTTAGTTGTCTCACTGTCTTCAGTTTCTTGTTAATACTAACTTCTATGAAGTTGTTATACATGTACTTGAATTCAAAAATTTAAATTTCAGCCAATGAATAAACAGTATTCTCTTTGATTAACTTTAATGAATCCGTTAGCCAACGGATAATGAAATTGACTTTCCAGCAACAGAAATTTAACAGACCGTTAACAAACGACAAGTTACCAAGATAACGATCCGTTAAACTCAACTTAGTTTTGAGCAACCGGCCCCAGGGCTCTTTCGTGTGCACGCCATCGATTAGACATTGTTCCGTATCGGGGCCCTCTTATCCTACACCACTAGAAAAGGCTAACCGCGATGGAAATCCCGAGGTACTATAATCGGAAACGCCGGGGTCGAAAATCCTAAAGGCTGTGGTTAAAACCCGCTTCCGAAATGCAGTCGTGATTGAGTCAAGTCTCGCGTAAACAGGGATCTAGCGGGTTATGGTTAGTGGTTGGCGCGTGCTGACTGATAAGTTTGATACACATAGAGGCTCTGTGCAGATTTACCAACATTGTGATCTTAGCTCAAATACTGTAAATTCTGATCACAAAGACCATGTTCAGTTATAATAAACATAACAGACGTGTTTTAATTTCTGCATCATATCCGTCAAAGAATGAATATTAACTGTTCTGTTAGAATGATCATTCAATTGTGGCCCGTTAAATAATTGATTTTACACGCAGTGGCGGCGCCAGCCGTTGGTGATTGGAGGGGCAAAGCTAGGGCAAAGTACAAGGTTAGGGGGGCAAAGGCACGAGCTTTAACTAGGGGTAGGGGGCCTCCCCCAGAAAATTTTGAAAAACAGGTTGCCGGAAATGCAGGCTGGCAGTATTTCAGGCACTGATCGATGAGGTAAAGTGTCAAACGAACGGACTTGCGAATCACGACGAAGCCCACTCAAGAGTGTTAAAGTAGGGAGTCCTCTCCCAGAAAATTTTGAAAAATAGACTTACAGTATTCTGTCAGGCACCGATCGTTGAGATAAATAGATTGACCAGATACCGTCCGTCGCCTGATCACTAGTTTATCCGACTAAAGAACAAAATGTCAAACGAACGGACTTGCGAACCTCAACGAATTCCCCTTGTGAGCGCCAAAGTAGCGAGTCCATTGGGGACCTCGCCAAGAAAATTTTGAAAAATAGGCTGTCGGAAATGCTCTACAGCATGCAAGTTTATGACTGAGTGGGGATGTGGGATTTATTCACCGTAGAATGTATTGATTACCGAAACGTATCACAAATACTTTTTTTTATTTTCTGAAAATTATTGGGGGGGGGGGGGGCAAACAGAGGGCAGACCAGATTAATGGAGGGGCAAATGCCCCCCCCCCCCCCTTGCCCCCCCCCCCCCTGGCGCCGCCACTGTTCACACGGCCTCAGTAGTATCCTTAACTGGAGTCGATTAATATCGACATCAAGTGATTTCTATCCGGTTGATTATTTTATTTTTTATAACAAGGGAGACAAATCCTCTGAGGCACCAGACCACTAATTTTATTGTGGTTCTGTTGTTTTAACCCACTATACCTGCCACACGGGGTTGATAGTAATTGCCATTCCCCATACTAAAACTTCTCATAATTAATAACGGTTCCCAAAGATAGGGTTAACCACCCGGAAATACTCATCCCGGCTAAAGTGATTATCTTTCCTGGGGATACATTTATTTGTTGGATAGTAAGTTATCTTCATTGCAACGTTTGATACATAAAAATGAAATTAAATAGGGTTTAATTAACGTCCTAACGCTCTGCTCTGACTGGGCTATTGCAATATGCCGTGAGGTAAATCTTGCCCGGACAGCGGCGCTACGGCCTACTCATATGTGTAATTTCAACAGCCAAGAGATCTTTTACGTGCACGCCGATGTGTACACAGAACTTCGGTTTTTTTTTCATATACGTTGTCCCTTGACGAGTTCTCTGTCTTGTATCAATGACAAGGAGAAACCACGCCGAGCAAATCCCGAGGAACTTTCGGGGCCAACGCAGGGATCGAACACGGAACCTTCAGGTTAGCGAGCCAACGTCTTCCACACTGAGCTACCGGGGCTCCTTAATAAATAAAGGTTTGATTTTTAGCACAATGTAGTTATAAAAAAAAAGTTGGTACTTTCTGAAACAGTTACCGGTTCCATAAACTTGACAACCTGCTTGTTTTTCTTCGTATTATGGGTTGATGCTCTTGGTATGAATCAAAATTCTAAGATGGCTACGAACGACGTTATTGTCGGTTCATGGTTAATACCGTACATTAATCAATGCAAATATTATGAATGTAAAATAATATCCCAGGTAACTTTGGAGCAGCCGAAACCACCCGATCCAATATTATTACCGCCTATAGTCGGGGATACTAAAACGAAATACATCGGCTTAAAAGGAGGTAAACGGCAGCCGTTTTCACTGTTCGATAAATTTATGAGTAAAAATAGAATATCGATTATGTATGTAAAACTCTTAAATTATAGCAGATAGGATCGAGTCAGGTTCGGGGAGAAGCAGACAAGTCAGTTGTCTGAATTCACCAGAGATGAAAATGAAATGAAACGGGGTGAAAACGACCTACTTTTCTTTGAATCTTACAAACCGCCATATTTCTCAAATACAATGTTTGACAACTCCAATTCTTGTCTACCAAAGCATTGTTTGTTGACAGTAAATAACATTATAGAGAGATAAATAAGAACCGGAGCTAAATCTGTTTTTCCCTATTTTCAAAGAACAATAATACGAATTACATAAAAAAAAGTTCCGCTTTTTAGAATTCTTAACCGTAACGTTGTCATTTAAAATTATGGTTATGAGGTTATCTTTATTCGTCACATATTCGTAAAAACGAATAAAGATAACCTCATAACCACAATATTTACGAATAAATCATAACCGCAGTGTTTACGAATACAGATTACCTCATAGCTATATAAAGATAATCTCTTAGTAATTGTTTTCCCGAATAAAGATTATAATGCAACCAGTTGTTTACGAATAAAGATTACCTTGACACTTTTCATATTCGCATGCTATACAAGTAACAATAAAATTGAACATTTAAATGGGATACCTATCAATCTCAATTCTTTGGATCTATAAAAAGAAACCAAACACGAGAAACCTTTTTTATTCGGGGGGTTGGATGGCTGAATGGTTAGCGTGCGCGCGCTGTATCATAAAGTCTGTCATTGAGTCAACTGGCGTGGTTTCGAATCCCCGGTTGTACGTGACAAGGAGTAGGGTCGCCTGTCCAACCTCGTGGGTTTTCTCCGGGTATTCCGGTTTCCTCCCACTACTAAAGACCCCTATGCGCAAGCGAATTATTGAAATAAAATTAAACCATATGTTAGTCCCAAAATGACCTAGTTTGTGTCGAGTGGACGTTAAACCCCATTTCTCTCTCCCCTCCTTTTTATTCTCTTAATAACCAAATAAAAGGTTACCCCCCCCCCTCCCTTCTTCCATCATCATCACGTGGCTAAGTCGGTAAGACGCCGGCTCGCTAGCTTGGAGGTCGGATGTTCGATCCCTGCATTGACCGAGAATGTTCATCCAGATTTTCCGGCGTGGTTTCCCCTTGTCAGTGATGCAGGACGGAGGGCCTGACAAGGACAGCTGTCTAGTCGTTCGGATGGGACGAAAAACCGAGGTCCCGTGTACACATTGGCGTGCACGTAAAAGATCCCTTGACAGTTGGAATTCGATATAAGTGTAGGCCGTAATGCCGCTGTCCGGGCAAAATTTCCCTCATAGCACACTGTATGGCGTATGCCCGTCTTCATTAGCCCAGTTCGGAGCAGAACAGTAGGACGTTAAACCCCATTTCATTTCATTTCACCTCAGACATAA